ACTCTGCTCCATCCATCCCTCTGGTGCTGGAGATAAAGTGAGAATAAGACAAGGGAATGGACTTTGCCACCCCCGAGTTCACAGTCTAGTGTTGCAGACAGAGTCACAGATATATTTCGGGGACATTGTGGTCAGTAATGGGCAGAGAGTGGTGGTGGGGGGAAGCACCTGCCTGCCTTCCCCTGAGCACGGAGTCCAGTGCTGGCACTCAGGCCTCATATCCCAGGTTGCTTCTTTCCCCTGTGCCTAACCGCATTCAGAAGAGGATAAAGAGGGTGAGGCCTCCCTGGATGTGTGGAGGGGTAGTAGCCGGTCAGAAGATGCACCAAGTCAGGCACTGAAGGCTGGGGAGGGCTTCCCAACTCTGTACCCAAACCCACAGCCCGGAGACATTAAGGGCTCTTAAGTCCTCACCCCCACAGTGGAGGCCTGGGGGCTTCAGAGTAGGAGCATGCTACCAGCAGCTGGGGACTCCGTGACAGTAGGTCGCAGCGGGAGGCTGCTTTCTTCTTGCTCAGCTCTAGGGAAGGAAGGGGGAGACTCAGGCAGTGAAGTGGGTGGGCTTCTCCTGGCACTATTTTGATCCACTCTGCTCCTGTGTGACCTTGCACTAGTCTCTACTGTATGTGTCTCTTCATTTATTAAAAAAAAAAAGGGAGTAGATGACTGCTAGTCCTTCTCCAACTCCCCCCACTCCCAATTCTGTGTCTTCTCCCTGCGGCAAGGCTGGGGCCTATGTCACAGGAGAAGACGTGCCTCTGAAGCAGTGTTCGAGGAGTTTCCAGAGAGACGGGGAGCTTGACCCAGGACCAGCAGGGCTCCTGGCGTACGTGACGGAGAAGAATCTCAGCATGAGCCATCAAAGACGTACAAGATGTTTATTTAGGAAAGAAAATACATAGTCAAGGGAGAAGGGGGCAATCTCAAGAAGAGCAAGGAATACAAATTCAGGGAAGATGTGGGTTCTCTCCAGAGGGAGAGACAGCAGCAAGCCCTCGTGTGGGGTGGAGCCAGGGTGGAGTCACATAATTTCTTGCCAGTTTTCCCTGAGCTTGTCCTTTTACAAGGGCCTGGGCTCAGGGCATGTCCCTCAGGATCTACAACTCTTCCTCCTGAGCATTTTCTGCATCTCCATGGCTTATGAGTGTTTTTTTGAGATGCAGTATCTCTCTCTTGATCCTAAATCTCATGTAGAGAACCCTGAACTGGGCTGTGGTTTTTGCAAGGCCCACACCAGCTGGTTGTGACCTGGGAAGGGATTTTAGGAGCAGAGGTCAGGGAGATGAAAGAGGAGTCACTTGGACGTCTCTGAGGTGGGCACTTGGGTCTGGAGGATGCAGGTTTTGCAGAGAGGAGTAAATTCCACTGGCCCAAGCTCTCAGCCACCAACCAGGGGCTGGAGAAATCTCCGCTGCAGCAGGGAGAGCAGCTGGAGCTTGAGGCTTAAAATCTGAATCTTCAGGCCCCAGATGATCTGTGGACTCAGAGTTCAAGCTCTCCCCGGTACTTCTGAAGGTTGTATTGCAGAACCCAGCCTGGTGCTCATGTCTTCTGCTGGGCAGGCGGGGGCCTTGTCACTCCACTGTCCTGCTGGGGCTGGGGTAGGCATGGGCTAACTCCCACGCCCACCCACTGAGCACCCCACCCGCTAACACCCACATTTAGGATACTAGGCCTATTAGGAGAAATCCAACTGCTGTCTTGGATCCAGAAACGAGTTGGTACATAATCATCCCCATTTGTCCTTGTTCCCACTGCCCAAGTATTTTCTTTTCCCCAGATGTGGCATCGTCTAGGTCCATTTCTGGGAGACCTCAGAGGGACAGAGTTCTAATAGAGAGAGATGACCATATGGACAGTGATGGGCCAGGCGGGGCTGGGAGGGGGTAAGGAAGTGTGTGGCACATTGAGGGACAGGGATAGCCCGCTTTTGCTTTCTGCGGGGACCAGGCTGTGTTGACAGGCAGGACAGGGTGATGGGACCTGAGCAGGAGGGTCTGATGTCAGGGAGGAGGACATGGTCAGGTAGGTGAACCCAAGAGGTTCAGAACAGAGCCACATGTTGCTGGTTCTCATTTTGTTCTGACCCGATGGAGGGCGGAGCTGCAGACACGGGTGGGCTGTCCACCCCTCCTGATCCCCTAATCCCTCAGACAACTTGGGAAGGTGGCAGAAGCAGCACGCGGAGTCCTGGCAGGGTGAAAGACTTTATTTCCCCTTGACCTCCACGGCCACAGCCAAGGCAGTGGGACACATCATTCCCTGTGGCCCTGGCTGGCCAGAAGCAGGGTGGAGTGGCCTCCCGATTAGCGGCACCCCCCAAGGCCTGGCCCGTGGCTGTGACCTTCCGTATTGGGGGCGTTCTTGTGCATCTCCTCGTGGGAGGCATGGGTCAGCTTTGCTATCAGCATGATGAACTCTTCAAAGCTCAGCTGCTTGTCCTGGTTGGTGTCCAGGTCCTCCAAGATGTGATTTATGACCTTCTCATCCTTATTCTCTTTCTGTGGGTGTGGGAGAGAGGGCTGTAAGGGCTGGGTATGGCCAGGGGTGGGGGGACCCTGGAGCACAGTGAATGGCCAGATAGCCGATGAATGGGGAAGGTTGGCCCCCATTAAAGACACTTCAAGATGACCATTGACTGGGTGCCCCCGGAGGGGCAGACACTAAGCGTGTCGTGTGCTAAACTCTTTCTATTTGGTTCCCCAGACCTGCCCTCCAACTTGAGGACCCTGGCTCTCTATTTTACAGAAGAAGGTCCCACAATTTGCAAGTCTAGACATATCCCCTCATTTGATCTTTTTAACAACTTGAACAGGTGGAAATCACATCTTCCTAGGAAGACTCGAGTCTTAGAGAGGCTCAGCCGTTCCCGGGTTGAGCAGCCTGGAAGCCCAGAGGTGGAGAAGCTGATTCAGGTCTGACTCGGGCCCGTTTCGTCCTGTTCTCTTTAATCTCCTCAGTCCCCCTCCCCTCCTTCCCTAGAGGTCTCCAGTTAGTGAAGCTCATCAGCCTCAGATTTGGGGGAGGCACTTAGGAAAGCCAGCTGCTGTGAGATCCTGGGCAGGGCAGAGCCGTGGAGGGGCTCTGCTGACCTCACAGGGTAAGACAGAGCATGCCAGGAGGATGGGGGCGAGGTGACGAGGTCCAGGTGAGCCAAAGAGAACCAGCTGCCCTCTCTGCCATTCTCTGGCTGGGACCCCTCTGCTCAGCCTTCTCCTGGACTCTTGATGGCCCATCTTGTAGGTCCCCTTCTTAGCCTACCACTTTGCTTCTGGCAGGGGACACTGGGGAGGGGGATGGAGAGCATGCGGGTGTCCCACAGAGGAGAAGGTCACCCACACAGCCTCTTGGTGCCCTGTCTACCTCATCCAGCCTGAGACCCTCACCTGCAGGGAGTTGTCACTGTCCCTCAGACATCCCATGGTGGCAATTCTCCATCTTACCAGGGAGGGACGAGCACCAGAGGGGGATGGGGACTTTCCCCAGGACGACTGGCCCTGGGAACAGGATTGGGCCTGGGACCCACGTGTTCTATGTCCTTCTTAGTCTAGGCCTCCGTTTCCCCAATTTCCCCAGATTTATAAAGAAAACAAAAAGAGTGTGGGAACGAATCCTTCTTTTTCCTGGAAATCGTTTTCAGAACAGGGAAACACATTCCACAAGTGCTCTGTACGTGCCCGTGCTGCGCCGGGTTCTCCACGTGCTCCTTATTTCTCAATTTTCTTCCCTGGACGGGTGGGATTGGAAAAGCCCTCTAGGTCTACCCCACATTCCCAGCTTAGTCTTAGCTTCCTGCCGAGTGCTGAGTTTAGGTGCCCAACACCCGGGTCTCAGCTCGTGTGTCACCTAAAGAGGCTCTTCCTGTCCACCCCCTCCTAATCCCCTCTGCCCTACCAACCCAGACCACCACCCTATTTGTTATCTCCCAGGCACTTAGAGGGGTTGGATTTATCTGTTCATTTGTTGTATGTCTCCCCGATGGGAGAGTGGACTACCTGGTCACTGCCACTTCCCTGTGCCCAACACAAGGCTTCACACACAGCACATGTCCAACCACACAATTTCTTGACTCTATTAGTGCTGCCTAGCTTTGAGCACCTCTAGTGCCTCTGGATAGAAGAAGCTAGTATTCTCCCTTTCTCTCTTTTGGTATGAGTTGAACCCAATGTGCTCTACCACTGTCTTATACCTCAGCCCTTTATATTTCTTATTTTGAGGCAGGGTCTTGCTGAGTTGCCTAGGTTGGCCTCAAATTTGAGATCCTCCTGCCTCAGCCTCCTGAGTAGCTGGGATTCAAGACAAGTTCCCGGCTACAGCTTTCTCCTTGATTGCTGCACACAGCACCTGCTCCTCTCTCTTTGAGCAAGCCCTACCTTGAGGAAGTTTTGCAGCTCTTTCTTTGCCAGCTGTTTGAATTCCTTCTGGTTCAGGGTGTCTGGGTCCCCTGACCTTACTGTGTACTGGTGAAAGGTGTCGATCACCGTCTCTATGCTGCGTTCCATCTGTGACAATTCACGCGCCATCTTCTTGCACTCTGTCGGAATAATGGAGAAGCAAGGATTGGGACATTTAGAAGAAAGAACAGGCTGCCAGGCTGCCTTGATTGCCCTCTGGCCACGGGCAGGAAGGAAGGGAGGGAGAAAAGCAGTTGGGCACAGAAGACCCAAGAAATGTGAAGGATGCTAGAAAGTGTTCAGGGCCAGACCAAGGAGGGCTTCCAGTTTGGAAGAAGGTTGGGTGGGAGGAGAAGAGAAAGAACTGGAAGGCAGGCTTCTGCCAGTGCGCAGTGAGTAGCTCACTCACCAAAACCCAGGATCCTACAGAGCCTCTGACAGGGAGGTGCTGGCTTGGCATTTATAGGCAGCTCTGGGCCAGGGCTCTCTGGGCAGGATTGCTTCACAGGCCATCAGTTTGGTAAGCCTCCAGGAAGGGGGCTGGGCAGGACAGGAAATGTTCACATAGTTCCTTTGCCTTTTTTTGTGAAATTGCCAGCCCTGGGCCTGGAACTGGTTTGGGAGGAGGCTGGTGAGTTCAGTCCCCTCAACCCCAACCCCCCTCTCTCCCTGAGCAAGCCACCGGCCTGCCACTCCGCTGGCCCCCTCACATCCCACCTCTGGGACAGCTAGAAGTCCTCTGAGGACCGTGGTGCCGACCCCCTCTGCCTCTGCTCTCCTTAGTCCTCTGTGCTTGCCTGGCTCTGTGGGGAGGAGGGTCTGGCATTTGGAGAGTGGGGGTTAGGATTAGAAAGATTCTTAGAGGTGATTGACCCTGTTGCATCGCAGATGAAGGACCCCAGAGAGGGACCCCAGCAAGGTCACAGAGCTGGCTGGTGATGTGGCAGGACTTGGCCTCAGACATCTTGGTTCCTGGTTAAGGCAATGGCAGGTATGTGTCCTTTTTACAGTCAGAGTGAGAGGTCTTCAGGGCCTGCCTCTTCTAAATCCCACTCCTCATTGGGGTCCACACCCTCCAGGAACTTACGACCTAGAAGAGGGCTATTGTATGTCGCTCCTGGTGGGCAAGACGGGCCCCTCTCCTGCTGCCACCTTCGTATGTATCTCCCCACCGCCCACAGAGCAAACTGATATGGCTTAGCCCTCTGCACAAGGCCCTGTGGGGCGTGGGCTCGGTCTCTCCTGGCCAGTTTCCCCTGCAGTCCCCCTCCACTGTGGGCAAGGGGCGGGGGGCCCACCTCGCTCCTTGCCACAGCGTGATGGTGAAATCCAAACCCCACCTCCCGGCTCAGCTCAAAGGCTGCCTCATCCTGGAAACCTGTGCTATTCTTCCCATCAGGAACACCCCCTGGGCAGGGCGGTCTCTTCTGTGCCACTTCTGGCTCCTAAGGCTGCTTTCCTGGAGCCAACTGATTTGCATACTTCGCTGCTGTCTATTTAGTGCCTGTAGATCCTGAAAGAGAGGTTCTTTTTCATGTTTATCACCTCCCATACACACAGTCTGGGGAGGGACACCCTTGCTTTTGCTGAATCATCACATTTCCTTATTGGCATCCTGACCCCTCACCCCAGGAAGGGTACATGGTGCATGGAGGACGTACCTGAGGTATTGTCCTGCCTTCTTGCTCCTCCCAGCCTCTCTCCCTCCTTCGGGGAAGGTATTCCTCCTCTTCCACCTCACCTAGTCCTTTTCTCCAGTCTTCAAGAAGCCTTCCCTCATTGCCAAGGCCCCTCCTGCCCACTGCCCTCTGGAAGCCCCGGGCAGCCCCAGTGTGTGCTAAGCCCTGGTCCTGAGCACATCCTGCCTGCACTGCTGAGATGCACAGAGCTCAGACTCACTGAGTGTGACCTTAGGCAATTTATTGAACTTCGCTGTTTCACTTTCCTTAATTGGTAAAATAAGATACTAATAGCGCCTTCCTTGAGGATTGTACCATACAGGCAGAACTGGGAAGAGTTCAGGAAATAAGAAGCACTATTATCAGTTACCTTTTCATTATCATTGGTACCAGCACAAGATGCTGGGGGATCTTGGTGAGTGAGTCACAAAACACAGGGGAGACATGATTTGACATCCTGTCTTCCTAATCACATTTTAAACCCTTGGTAGTTTGGGATAGGACCTGGCACTGTATTAAGCGCACAGCAATTATTTAATAAATGCATGTCGAATGCACACTTGAATGAATGAATGGTGTCGACATGGCTGTGAAATTATTATTTTTTGAGGAACTGGGGTGCCCAGGGTGCTCTATTACTGAGTTACACCACCTCCAGTACTTTCCTCTTTTCTTGTGTTTTTGAGACAGGGTATCATATCACTAAGTTGTTCAGGCTGGTCTTGAACTTTCGATCCTTCTGCACCAGACTCCAGAGTAGCTGGGATTACAGGTGTGCCACTGCGCCCCACCAGCCAAGAAATACTTAGATGGAAAGTTCAGGTGCATTTCCCAACGGAGGCTGCCCCTGACTGTTTAGAGGAATCACTGAATGAAGGTGGACCCTGTGTGCCCACCTGCTCGGGCGGGTAAGGAATCTACATCTAGTTTCAGGCTTCGCAAGCATCCGCTGGGTGCCTTTTCTTGTGCTCCCACAGCGCCCTCTGCTGCCTCTGTTGGAGCAATTTCACCTGCACCAAAGAGTCACACACCCCTGCAGAAAGGTGAAGCCGGCCAGGTGTGAGAAATCAACAGAGCCAGTAGGGTGACTTTGGCAATGGATGTGGGAACTCTGGGTCAAGGACACTAGGTAGCCGGATGAATGACATTGAGAACAAACTCCCGGGCACTCCCCTATCTGCAGCTGGTCCCCCACCCGCCTTCCTGCTAAGTGTGTGCTGGGAGGTCAATTGGAGCCTTAGTCATTTAGAAGCTCAGGCCTCAGCTGGAGGGGAGGCAGGAAGGGAAGCTGGGGAGAGCGCAGAGGAGCTCAGCCTGGCCCCCACCTGACTGAACTGATGACCCAGCACAACAGGCCCCAGGGAACTTCCCTACCTGCCCTCCTGTCCCACCCTCCATGTGCCTGCCAAAAGTACTGACCCGCTCACCCCATGACCCGGCTCTGTTGAACCCTGTAAAACTCAGACCCCTGTTGTGGCCCGTTGACGTCGCTGATCCACTGAGGTCTGTCCCCATTTGGATTATTTTTGCTTTCAGTGGAGACCGGCTGGCAGGAGCATTCTTAACTTGAAGGACAGCCAGCCTTCAGCCTCAGGGGAGGGCTGCCCAGGACCGGTGCTGCTGGGTTTCCCCAAGGCCTGGGGAATCTGCATTCTTACTGCAAACTTCCACTTATAAAAGCTGTCAACTGATTTTAAAGAAAAGCAAAAGCATTGACGATGCAGGAGGGTGTGTGCCCGTGGGTGGACGGGGGTGCCCTGCTCTGCCATGGGGTTCTTGACTCTCTGGCTGTCTCCTTCACTGGCTGTGGCTCCTCAGGCAGGTATATGGCTCTGCTCACCTCTGGGACCCTGGCACCCAGCGAGGGCCTGACTTGCTGGGTGCTGGGTGCGCAGTTGCTGAGTGGGTAAACGCAGGCGTGCAGGAATTCATGAAGTGCGTGAATGTGGAATGAACACTGGTCTCTTGGCCTTTGCCCTGTGACTTTCTGCAGAGCTGCTGATTGTCATCCTATAATGTTGGTTCAGGATGAAGGTAAAATGGGGAGGGGGAGGGGAGATGAGGCTCAGCGGCTGGCAGGAGCCAGCCTAAACCCAGACATGGAATTTGCACTTGGGGAATCCCATGCCGTCAGTTGGTCCCATCTCAGGAGGCCATGGTGGGCCCCAGATCCCAGCTAGTTCAGGCCCAGGTGACGTCAGGGCTGAGCCACCAGGTAGTGACTTGAGCCACCTGTTCCTCACCCCCTCCGAGGCCCAGGTTGCACTGAGGGCTGGTGGGAGGTGGAGCTCCTCAGGGTACTGGTTTTCCCGGGAAACTCAGAGCCTCCTTCGAGGACATGAATTGGCCACTTTTTTTTCTGGCTCTGAACAGTAACTCTGGATGTTGTTTTTGGGAGAAAAGGGTGTGGTTTCTGGATTAAAAAATGTGTAAGCAAACAACTAACGGGCAGAGAATCCTGTAGTGACAATGAAGTCACCAGCCCCTCTCCCGTGCTCAGGACCAACGGCAGGCCTGAGCCTTTCTGCTTCTCTCACGCTCAGGCTGAAGCCAGGTTGAAAGACAGGCAGTTAGAGTAGCTAGGTAAATTGGGTCGGATACCGAGCCTAGTAAAGAAAATCAAGTCCATAAAGAAAATGGAGTCAACCTGAGCCCAGGAAATCAGAACCACACCTGGGAGATTGAAATGTCAATGTCCCCAAGGCCAGGCCCATCCTAAAGAACTGTTAATGAAGCAGCTCCCAGCAAATAGGGAGGTGCTCATCAAATCATCCTAAGCCCCTTCTTCCTGGGGGGTGGGTGGGGAGGTCTTCTCTCCTTTAGTAAAGCCTTCCGCTTTCCACTCCACACTTGCCGTGGCTGCTTCTCTGGTGTTATACTTCAGCACTCCCAGCAAGGAGTAGTCACGGTAACCCTGGGTATCACTGCTGTGGCCCTCAGGCCACTTGGTCCACCTGTGCTGCACTGGGTGTCCCAGGGGGTGCACGTGGGACTCTCCCCACCCCAAGCTCTCATCCTGCAGTCTGCGGGACCCTGGTGGAAAGTGTACAGAGGCTGGGGGCTGAGGCTGGGTTCCAGTCCTAGCTTTGCCAACTCACTGGGGCCATTACAAGTCTTTCCCTCCGTACGGCCTCCAGGTTTGTATCCGTTAAACTGAGAGGTTGGGTCAGCTCAGTCACTTCTTGGGCTGGCACCAGGTTCCGATGGCATCTCGGTGGGCTCCATGAACACGGCCCCGATGCTCCAGGGCTCTGTGTGATTCCTGGATCACATGCTGCTCCCCCAGAAGAGGAAGGCGGGTCTCCTCCTCAAAGCTGCCCCCTGGGGCCCAGACCCTCCCAGGCTAAGCCCAACCTGCTGCCTCTGAGAAACCAGCCTCTACCTCAGGCAAAGCCTGTCCAAGGAAGGGACATGACCTTTGTCCTTGGAAAGACCCACAGAGCACTCCTAGGCACATTCCCACCCTGCTAAGTGGTTTATCTACAAATAACAGGAGAGATCTGCTGCGCCAGGTGTCCCTGACTCAGTCAGGCTAGGTGGGGGCCCATAGCAACCCCCTAGCAGCCACCAATCAGCATGAGACAGGGAAATACCTGGGATGCCAGATGACCCTCCCAGTAGTTGATGGTGGTTGATAACGTGTTGGGAAACCATGTAGTTCAGCACGTACACCCCTCTTGGCTTAAACCAATCAGTTCAAATGAATCCCCCTCTTGTACTAAGCAATCACCCCTCCCCAACTTGTTCCCGCCAGTGAATGTGCTAATCATGTTTTAGAGTTGTTATTTGATTTTCCCGTGGTGTGTGATGACTTGCTAAGAGATGCTATGATGTATGGGGGGTCCCTGCCTTCTCCAAAGAATGTATAAAACCGCTGCAAACCCTGGGCTCGGGGCCTCTCAGCGTCACCTGTTGGTGTGTGTGCGCGGAGGAGTTAGCTCGCAATAAACACCTCTTTGCTGTTTACATTGATCTTGGACTCTGGTGGTCTTTTGGGGGTCCCGAATTCCAGCATAACACCTCTTTCTCCATTCTGTCCCTTCCCACTGGCTTGGAACTCTCTGGGTCTGGACTTTCTGAGTCCCCGTTCCCCACTGTTCAGTTTGGGTGTCTGGTGCATTAGGATGGCTCGGAGGATTCATCCACAGGTGACATCAGATGGTTGTCCTGCCATCTTTGGCCTCCAATCTCACCAAGCCTCCACTGATGGCCATCCTAAGGTCAGCTGAAGGCCGACCCATCTCCTGCCCCACGCCAGGCTGCTCTGGTGTCCACAGTGAGGCCTCTCTGGTAACCGGGCTTCCTAGATCCTAGGTCTGAACACCTCCCCGCACTCCACCTCAGCTATCTGTGCACAGAATTTTCCTAATTTCCAGGAAGTGTTGCCTTCCAAACCAAGAAAGTGGATGTCCCCTTTTCTGTCCCCTGGATACCATTTTTCCAGTCCTTCCTCCCCTCCCATTTTCTAGCTGTCGTCCTTACTTTGCCCCACACTGAAGTTTCAGATCTCTCCAAGACTCCGGAGGGGTATCCCAGTATCTCTCCATTGGCTTCCTCTGCCTCTCAGAAATCCCCTTTGTAGAGAATAAGGGCTTTCACAAACATCACCGTGTGGGCATTGTGATTACCGGCCTTTTACAAGGTCGGTAAATCCTGGAGAGCCAGCTTCTCCACTTACTCCTTCTTAATGATCAGCTTTGCACGTGAGAGACATAAGCATTTGCAGGGTAGAATGAATGACTGACTTGGCTTTCACAGAACCTATGCTTAGAAGACCATTTCCGGTCATTAAGAAGTTGTGCAACACAGGAGAAGGGAGAGGAAGAGAAGGAGGTGGAGAGGAGTGAGGGGGGACATGGGGAGGCCGGGGAGACGACCGAGGGTCGGGGTGTGTGAAAGGATGCTAGGATTCAAGGAGCGGTGCTGCCACCTGGTGGCCAACCTGCACCAGCGCTAGCGGCATTGATCTGGCCTGGGACCTCTAGTTCTCAGGACCCCTTTGTACTTGTGAAAATTACTGACTATCCCAGAGAGATGATTGTGTTATGTTTAATCAATATTTGCCGTTTTTTTTTAATTTGAAAAAGTTTAATATATTGATTAAATTATCATTAATAAACTCATTATATATTAATCTCTAGTTCAAAAATTAAAAATAATTATACAGATGTTTTGCAAAGCTAGTGAGTGTCACTTTTTAAAACATTTTCTCCTACTACTTCACTGTATAGATGAAAATATGATAGGCTGCGTTTCCATATCTGCTTCTGCATTCGACATGTGGCAAAATATTGTTTTGTTTGAAAATGGGAAGAAAAATCCAGCCTCTCACAGACAGGTACTTGGAATGGGGAGGAATATATTAGTGACCTTTAAAAATAATATACATTTTACGTTTTTTGATATACATCCAAACTCAACAACTGGTAATTTGTTAAAAGTTATTTGTAATGTAGATTCTGAAGCCACATGAATGAATTCTTTGTATTTGTTTTCATTAGAATCAATTGGTCTATCTTAAAATTGGAATGGATATCTTATTCAAGCGTTATTTTGTAACCTCATATATTAGTCATTCAGAAAATATTGGCTCCTTGAGGTATGCACATTTTCGAAATGCTGACACGTTTTATTACTTGATATACACACACACACATACATATATATTTATATGGTGTATGTTTGTTTGTAAATCACATTTGGTAACATCATCACTGATCTCATCCATCGGTAAAGTCTTTCAGTATTGGGACGCTGTCAAATCATGGGGGCAGACAAAAGTTTTTCAAAATTCTAATTTTTGTTTGAAAGTACTAATTTTACTAAGCTAACCAATTCCATCAGTTGTTTTCCTTGAAACAAAAGGCACATTTGTATATTTTCAAGAGGAAGTCTACGATGTACCCAAGTATAAATATGTAGTTTGACTGTTATCTGTGCTTTCAAGTAAAAATGGTGTTCCATGAAAAAGTGGTCTGGTTCACAGCTCAGTCACACAGATGCTTTTCCATGACAGAACCAGGACTGAGATTTAATAAAATGAATGATTTTCTCTGCTTCATTAAGAATGTTCTTAGGTAAGGCCCGGTGTGGCGGCAATGACTATAATCCCAGACACCTGGGAGGCTGAGGCAGGAGGATCACAATTTGGAGGCCAACCTGGGCAACTTACAGATATCCTGTTTGAAAATAAAAAATGAAAAGGCTGGGGATGAAACTCAGTGGGAACACCACTCGGTTCAATCTCGTACTGAAAAAAATCCAAAAACAAAACCAACAACAAAACAAAAAAATTTGAGACAGGGTCTCACTAAGTTGCTTAGGGCCTTTTAAATTGCTGAAGCTGGCCTTGAAATGGGCAGAGGCGGGGCTGCGGAGGAACAGCCCGTCCCCAAGGGTCAGGAAACCCCTAGGTGCCTACCGCAGTGATCTTGGGCTGCAGTTCTTGGTGGCCTTCATCTTGGTCCTGGCTCTGCCCACCTGCACCTTCCCCGGGACAGTGCTCAGCAGCCCTGGCTCTTTCTCACGACATTGGCTGGGCCTGGGCACATCACTGGCAAGAAAGGGGGTGAACCTGGGGTGCATTCAAGGGCTCCTGTGTAGGGAGCGTCTCTTGGGACCTTTGACTGAGAGTGAGACTGACTAAGGGCAGCCTTTCTAGATATGGGCATTCCTCAGTGTCTCTAGAGACTGCCCCACCCACTAGGAGCTGAGAGGTCCTCACGCAATGTGCACCTGGCTGTGTTCTTGGAAGGTGTCAGGTGGAGCTCCCTCTGCAAAGATCCACAGCCCAGGAGAGCAGCGTTGCAGAGCGTGCACCTGATGAGGAGATGACCCAGGAGATGATCGAGGAGTGGGCGAGGGACCAGAGATGCAAGGCTTGTGGGAGGCTTCCTGTGATGGGTGACAGCTTGATGCCAAGGATGTGGTGTGGCAGGAGGCAGTGTGACACACGTGTAGGCTACAGGGTCAGAATTAGGCATAGCGAGCTGGGCACAGTGTCTGCGCCTGTAATCCCAGTGGCTCGGGAGGCTGAGGCAGGAGGATCGCAAGTTCAAAACCAGCCTTGGCAACAGCGAGGTGCTAAGCAACTCAGTGAGACCCTGTCTCTAAATATAAATATAATACAAAATAGGGCTGGGGACTTGGCTTAGTGGTTGAGTGTCTCTGAATTCATCCCCCCCCTTCCGCAAAGAATTGGGCATGGTGAGCTGTCCCCTGGGAATATAGATTAAGTTGGGGAACCCAGGGGAAGGGGAGGGTGGCATGTTGGTGAAATGACCTCAGTCCACAGCCTTCAGACACCTGGAGCAAATCTGTTTCCACGGGCAGGAAGTTTGCAGATGTCGGGGACACAGCCCCTGGGTCCCACAGGTTGGCTGGGCTTCTTGGGGACTGGGATGAGGAAAGAGCTCAGGAAGGTTGGGCAATCTTGCTTTTTCCCACGGAGGAGATTGCTGGACTTATTCACAGGGCGGGTCCCCAGGTGCTCTCAGCCCCGTCTGGTTTCACCAAGGTTCCTTTCAGAGCTACGTGGAAGGAGCCAGCTCTGAGTCTCAGAGCTCTGTCTTTCCTTAGGGATCCCAGGCTTTCCTGTCCTCTCCGGGAAGCCAGAGCTGGAGTGCGCCATTCCCAGGGAAGGAGCGCCCTCTAGTGCTGGGGAGAGGGAAGGCTGGAGGAAGGGACCGCGCCAGAGGCCAAGTCTGGAGGAGAAGGAGCTGCCAGCCAATGAGGAGGGAGCAGGCTGCACCCTGACCTGCTGGGCTGGGACAGCGCAGGGTCCACAGGTATTCCTGAGTCTGAGTGTTTCTTCTTCAGAGTCCCCCTCCAGGAGAGGGGGCTGGACTCCACCAAATGGAGAGTTAAGGTCAGATTTCCTCTCCCTAGAACTGGGATCCTCCCTCCCCCAACTCCTGCATCTCCCTCCTTGGTTCTGTCCCCAGCTGGAAAGTCATCCTCACAGTGGACTCATCTAGGAGAGTTTGGATTTCTTGGTTGGATCGTTTTGGGGTCTTGTTGCCCTTGTCTGTAGAAATGGGGGTTAACCTTACAAAGATGGTGAGCATTAAATAAGACTGCGTGTGCAAGTGTCTGAACACGCCCTGCACTCAGTGGATATTCGATAAAATTGAGTCGCCATGACAACATCCTTGTCCCTTTCCTCTGGCAAGCAGGAGCCTCAGGAGGCCCACAGTGCGGCAGGGAGTCAGACGGGGTATGGGGTACGGTGTAGTCTGGGGGTGCTCCATCTGTAGAGTGAGCGTCATAGCCATGTTAACTGTCAGTGTCTCTCCCAGGACTGCCGCTTGCCTAAGGGCTGCTAAACATACGGTTCCCATCGGTGTGCTGGGCCCCTGTGAGGATGCTGCCCTGGCTTCTCATCTTCTCTGTTTTGGGTCTCCAGTCCTGTGGTAAGTTTTCTTTCTCTGGACCAAATACTGACTGAGAGCATCTTTCCAAAATCCTGTAGTAGGAATTCCCTGGGTTGAAAGAATAGCTTTATACTTAGAGCATGGAACTTGGACTCTTTCAACCTAGGTTTGAGTCCCTGCTCTGCTTCCGATATGATTTTAAATAAGTTATGCAGTAAACTCTTAATTTTCCAACCTGAAAATTGAGGTAAGGTCACCAACCTCGTCAACTTATTGGAGAGTCAAATGAGATGACACACACAGAAGGACTGAGCACCTGGAGATTAAAAGCAAATAAACTGGAACGATGTATTATTATGATGTTATTCAGAGTCCGACTTGAGTTAGGTTTTTAATGTTTAAAAAAAAATGTTCCTTAGAAAGATCAAATTTTTAAAAAACAGGGGTTAAAAAAAAAAAACCCTAATCAACCACAAAAGAAGAAAAAGAAAATGTTCTTTGGGAATATCCCTCGCTAGATGTAAGTTGATGCCCTGATGCTCTGTGCCCAAACCACTGCTGTCTGTCCTTCATGGACCATGGAACCTGGGTTAGCACATGCCCTCCAGTCACTCAGGCACTGGCCTGCTTCATGCAAGTAATTCTATATTGTTTCCCCGCAGACTCTTTCTCATGTTTCCATTAGCTAAAATTCACACACAAGAGGATTTTGTGGTTTGGAGGTGCCCAAATGCATTTCCAAGTTGTTTTTGTGAATTGTGTGTGTGTACATGCCACTCAGGAGGATAGGCTGATATTTCTGACTCCCTGCCCATAACCATTAAGTCTCAAGCCGGGGTGCGGGGACACGCGACTCAATCAATCAGGGTCACTTTAATGAATTTGGGCTGACTAAATAAAGACACAGACACAGAAAGTTCCTATTGCTTTGGGTTCAGTGACCGCTCCTCAGCCACAGCTCCCACAACGGGGGGCAAGGCAGGCAAGAAAGAGAGGAGCACGCCTCGAACCCGGGTTTTATTAGTGGGGGGAGCTGATCCATGGAACACTATCCAAAAAAGGGCAAAGGGTAGGGTTACAACAAACAGTGGTGTAACTCAACCCCATTGGGTGATGCCCACTCCCGGAGCTGCACCTTTCTTATCTGAGGGAGTTGAGGTCCAATCGCATTGCAGTGGGTGCGGTACCAGCTCAGTACCTCTTTACTCAGGACTTAAAGGTGAGTACCCAGCTCCTGTCCAGAGCGGCTCCCGACACCAGGGCTTCACCTCGAGTGGGTGTTGGAGAAAGCCATGCCTCCTTCTGCTGTGGGAGGTGGTCCTCTGGTTAGTTGAGAGGGATTTCTTGGAGGTGGCTTGGGCATTTGGGGAGGCCAAGGGGCCGTGGAGAGGGGTTGGCTCCTTCTGGTTAGAGGCCTGGTATCTGTAGTTTGATGCACAACGGAACTTTCTTTTGCAGCTGTTTCCTCCTGGGACAAAGCACACACAACACAGGTGTCGGAGGGTCTGCAGGCCTTGTTTGGCAACATCTCCCAGCTCATTGAAAAAGGCAAACTCGGTCTTGATGGTGAGGAATCTTGGGGACCGACTGGGGTTTCTCAGGTGGCTGGAAATGTTTCTCAGGTCTGCACAGCCACGTGACACCCCGTGACATGGGATGGGGCGAATGGAACCCCGTAGAGAGTAACACTGGCCGGCCACTTCACGGATTGCCCTAGGTCCTTGGGATACAGGGTCGGTGCCAGGTGGTGATAGAAACCCTGACCTCGGGGAGGAGATTGGGGTGGGAGACCCAGCCCCTGCCTAGAAGGAGCCTCAGGGCCAAGGAGGAGATGCAGCCCTCTCTGGTGCTGCTCAGGACTTCCTCCAGGGAAAGTGGGTGAGACAGAGCCGCTCCCTGCAGTAGGCGCCTGGGCAGAGCAGGGAAGGAGCTGGGAGACAGTGTCTTATTGTGGATGGGGATGTGCTGGGGTGGGGCAGCAAAGCATCCGGGCGCCCTGGCTGGATCAGACTCTGCCTAAGGGGTGGGATGCAGATGGCATGAGCTGGGGAGGGTGTACCTGCCTGCCGAGGGCTTCCTCCTAACGCTCTTCCCCCACCACTCTTCCCCCATGCGGCCCAGACGTGCACATGCAGCCCAGGTCGCTCAGGGGCGACCACAGGGCAGGATGCACCGAGTGACATCCCACGGTTCCTTCCACAGATGTCTTCTCCATGGTCTCTCGCAAGGAATGGGGGGCAGAAGCTGTTGGCTGCAGCTCTCAACTGATCATGCCGGTGGATGTCCTCGTCACACATCATGTCCCTGGGCTGGAGTGCCACGACCAGGCGGTTTGCAGTCAGAGGCTGCGGGAACTGCAGGCCTATCATGTCCACAGCAACAGTTGGTGTGACGTGGCCTACAAGTAAGAGCCGGGGCCGGGTCTCGAGGCACAGGGCCAACCCTGCTCTGCGGGGCTGCTTCTCTGGGTCCTTCTGTTTTAGTCAGCTCCTTGTTCCTGCCACCAAAATACCCCACAAGAACAACTTAGAGGAGGAAAAGTTTTGTCCAGGGCTTGTGGTTTCAGGGTCCGTGGGTGGCTGACTCCATTGTTCTGGGGCCAAGGTGCAGCAAAACCTCAGGGGGGAAGGGCCCAGCAGAGGGGAAGCTGCAGGGTCAGAAGACAGAGAGGGGGAGAGGGCCACAGGGAGATGAACCTTCCAGGCACTCCCCCAGGGACCTACCCCTCGCGTCGTGCCCCTGGCCTACATTGATCACCCAGTCAGTCCTTTGAAACTAAGATGGCCACATTAGGTCACAGCACGCACAGTCCAATCACTTTCCCTCTGAACATTCCTGCGTTAACAGGAGATTTTGGGGGGAACCTTATGTCCGAACCATAACAAATTCGCATTCATTTCCCTCATTGTCTAGATTATAGTTACGTAGGTTTTATAGTGAATAAAATGTTTCAAACCCTCATGAGATCCCAAGTCCTTTAGAATTTTTCCACCCAGTCCCTCCCCCTGGGAACCCCCCAAAGAAAATAAGGACAACCAATCTTCCTACCCAGGCCAAGCTTGGTTTCCCCGGCACATCGCAGGTTACAGACGACGTCCTTGTCCCTGAGTGCCTTTGCTCCCTGTCAGCTCTGAGTTTGTCTCCACCTGCCCAGGGAGGAAGGAGGGAGTCTCTTGGGGACACTCGTCCCATCTGTTGCTCTAAGACCCATCTAGAAGACTCACATCTGACTTTGGCCACTTACGGACAGTTCCTGAGCATGGTGATGGCTCCTGCTCGGTGTCCAACATACTTCAGGCTTTCCCAAGGTCCTGGGCGGTGAGGGGAGAGAGGAGCTGATGAGATCTCCCTTGGCCCCCAGCCCTTCTGAAGGACGGTTATAAAATATGCGTACGCGGTTCCTCAGAAGGACACGGGTGAGGTGGGTGGTGGCAAGCGGGGCGGCCCCTGCCAAGCCAGCTCAGGTGCACACTCTATTTGGTGTCTCCTTCCTGTCTCACTCTCCTTACTCCCTCCCTCTGGCTTCTGGGATCACTTCTGAACGCACTGTCTGCTTCCACGTTGCATGTCCTTGTTCAGGTACCAGGTACATGCAGGACAGTGACCCTGCAGGGAGAAATCAGGTGAATAGCTCGGGGACGATCACATGGGCACGGTGCATTTTGGAGGAGGGAGGAGAGCCATCTTTGAGCTAGCGTGGTGTGGTTGGGTCGATGCTAATTACTGTGAAGCCCGGGGACCCCTCCTCCTCTGAGTGCACGGGATGATTTATGTTCAGCTCCAGGTCTGAGCAGGGGATGGGGCAGGGAGGGAGTGCTGCAGCAGGTCAGAATGTTAAGGACTAGGATGAGGGGCCTGGTCTTCCACAGTTTGGGAAGAACCATGTGAGTTCCATTTAGTGAACATGGCTCAAGCCCTCATCCATCTGGAGCCTGGGTACGTGGTTCCTCTCTCGGGTGGGTCACCACGTCAGCCGCTCAACCTTGTTCCCTTGCTGACAGCTTCCTGGTCGGGGACGATGGCAGGGTGTATGAAGGTGTTGGTTGGAACGTCCAAGGCTCGCACACCCAAGGCTACGGCAACATTTCCCTGGGCGTCGCCTTCTTCGGCACCAAGGAAGGTAATGACCGCCCCCGACGAGCCCTCTCCAAAGAGTCCTTGGCACTCAACATGGCCTGTCTCAACACCATGCAGCCTTCCCAGACTTCTCCGAAGATCCACTCCCGGAATTCATTCTCCCTTGGCCTCCCTGTCATGGCTTTGTGAGGATGCTTCTCCAACTGCTCTGACTTCTCTCAGTCTCCATGGCAACCCCTCTTCTTCTAGCCATCTTGTAGGAAGAGCTGCTTATGAGTTTTTCCTCTGCAGTTCCCCTGCTCTTCTGGAAAGAGCCGGGCTTCCTCTGTCACCTCTGGGTGAATGACTATCTCGTCTTCCTCTAATGTCAACTTTCTGTAGCCGCAGACTGTACCCCCAGATTCCTGCCTGACACCGCCTCCTTCCATCTCTCACTCCCGGATTGTCCATACATTGTTGACAAATGACTCAGAGGTCCCCGATCTCTGACTCCACTTTCTTCTGGTCTCTTGCTCTACATGTCATGCCGTTGGCCTTGACCTTGGAACATACATTGTCCGGGGCCATTTCCCTGAATTTGTGCACCCCTTCCTGTTAACCAAGATCTCGAATATCAATATTCTCTGAGGTTGTCCAGGTGGATTTCACAGTTTCTGTTACCACAGGGTGCAGCCTGAGTTTCAAATAACTCACAGCGACACAGCCGTGAGTAGAGGAATCAGTACGTGAGTCTGTATCCTCCACAGCCAACCGGGGTTGGGGGGTTTCCAGCCTGCCAGAGACTCACCGGGTCAGCAGTTTGGTTTACTAATTGATTAGTTGATGTATTTCTTTATAAACTTTGATGACTACTTGTTGCCTCTTGTTGGCTTGGGATTTTGAAGGTGTTACTTTTTACAGCCTCAAGTTCCTCTACATGAATAATGGGCTTAATGATAGCTTCTGCCTCAGAGGTTTGTGGTGAGGATTAAATGGGCGAATGTGGGCAGAGTCTGGCTCGTGCCTGCCAGGGCCCTGAGCAGGCCAGCGCTGTTGAGTGGTCGCTGCCTCTGTGTTCTCTCATGAATAGAGGGAGTCGACAGAGGAGTCCTGGCAGGTCACTGGGAAAGGGCTTCATCCTGGGCCACAGAGAACTCTGTCCTGGCAGACCCTTGCCTCTCAGCCCGGGGGAGGAGCCTGCTGGGCAGGGCTTGGCCAGTGTTCCTTCTCTATTCAGTCCCCTGAAGCTCAGGTCAGACTGAGATTCCCCACAATCGCTCTCTTCCAGGCCTCAGCCCCAGCCCTGCCGCCCTGTCAGCCATGAAGGACCTGGTCTCTTATGCTGTGCAGAGGGGACACCTGTCACCTAGGTACACCCAGCCACTTGTTGTGAGAGGCGAGAGCTGCCTGGCTCCTCCCCCAAAGGCAAGGCTGAGGCACGGTGAGACCTTGGGCCCTTCTGGGCTCCATCCAGGACGGCTCCTCACTAGACTCCAACGCCACCCCGGGGGGTGGCTTCCCACCAGGGTCAGATTCCTCTTGAAACTTTGGGGCCAGCAAACCTTGAAAGGGACCCTCCAGGGCACCTCTTTCCCCCTCAGATTCCTAGAATGGCAGAACCTTGGTGTTATGCCCGGTGTTATATCTGTGCACTTGTTTCTTCAAATTGGTAGACATTTACTGAACACCTACTAGACTCCCAGGATATACGAGACATTAAAATCCCTGACCTCATGATGTTTCAATCTACAGGGTAGAGAAAGACGCAAATAAACCGGAAAAACACTTGGCATGTTATATGATAAAAAATGCTGGGGGTGGGGGAAGAACACAGAAAGGGATAGGATATTTCTACACCTATTTATATATTCATATGCTTATATGCAAACACATTTCTGAATATAGGTGGTGCAGACCTATAATTCTAGCAATTTGAGAGGCTGAGGCAGGAGGATTGCAAGCGTGAGGCCAGCCTCAGCAACTTAGTGAAACCCTGTCTCCAGATAAAAACTAAAAAGGACTAGGATGTAGCTCAGTGGTGAAGTGCACCTGGGTTCCACCCCCAGCACTGGACCCCTCCCGGAAAAGTAGTGCTGAGGAAACTTAGGGTACCACTTATATGGATTTTAAAGGAAGAGTTTAATTATCATTCTGTTTTTGCCCTGCCATAGCTTGCCCTAGCATTGTCCCTCGGTCTGCTTGGGGGGCCAGGGAGACCTACTGTCCCAAGATGACCCTTCCTGCTAAGTACGTGGTCGTCCTCCACACTGCTGGGAGGACCTGCGGTGTGTCTGACGAGTGCCGCCTGCTGGTGCGAGACCTCCAGTCCCTCTTCATGGACAGACGCCATGCCTGCGACGTGGGGTATAAGTAAGTGGGCCCCAGAATGGGGGCTTCTTTTCTGGTTTCTGGGGGCAGAAACTGAGCCTCTGAAGGGAAGGAGAGGGCAGTAAGATCTCCTGAGTTCTCACCATGTGAAAGACCCTCAGGTCCGGCCTCATGGATTCCCATCCAGTCCTGGGAGGGTCTTATTCAGGAGTTATCTAAGGGGGTGGTCGTGGCCCTGGGCATGTTCTTAAGACACGTGCCTCTCTCAAAGGTAGCGTGTTGGCATGGCGGATGCCGAGACTGTTGAGATACCACCGAGGAGGCACCTGTGTGCCAGGGAATCTTTAGACAAGACCATCTCAGGTGGTGACCTTTTCAAGGAAGTGCTTCCCTCTGCTCCGCCCCTCAGTGTGGCCACATCTAGAAGCTGTTCCCACTCAGGTCACAGTGCCATCCTCTGCAGCCAGCCTGTGGGCCTACTGCGAGAGAGTCTTCCCTGTATGAAGGCAGAGGGAGGGGCTGCCAGGGTCTGGGAGTCTTCTTTAAGGAACACACTGACCTAACGGGAGACCAAAGCAACCCTCCCTCCCTCCCTCCCTCCCTCCCTCCCTCCCTTCTTTTTCTCTCCTCATTAAGTGTAGCCCACATGGGGCTCAACGTTCCGGGCCGGTTTTGCTCAGGTTGTTTCCATTTAGAGTGCCAGTTTTAAAAACTTGTCCCTTAATACTGGCACATAGGAACCAAATGGTCCACAAAACAGGTAGAGGTGCCTCGAGGATGCGTCCAGAGCTTGCAGATAAGACATTTGGGGGCTGCACACCATCTCACGTCCCATCAGAAACAACCCCATTAAGTATTAAGTCTCAGGACAGGCCACGGCCAGCCCAGTACATATTCGTACACGTTAATAAAGGGAACCCCCACTTCTGGGGACTTTCACAGCTTAGCAAAGTGGAGCTGGATGTTAGTAGCCCAAGCTGGGCACTTTGCATAGGATGTGGCCTGCGGAGCCCTGGCCGGGGGCCTGTCTTAGATGAATTTCCATTGCTCCATGTGGGCTTCTGGGCTGCTGAACCTCTGTTCTGTTTCCGTTTTAGTAATAACCCTTTCAAGAGAGGATATAATGTTTTTCCCAACATCTGTCATTTATTGGGAACTCCCAAGTGCTTTGTTAGGTCCTGCCAGGGAGGATTGATGTTCTCCTTAGTGACACTTGGATGTCTGAACATTGACTATAAATTTGGAAATCCTGAACAGGGAAATGATGGAGGTTGAGGAGAGGTCTTTCCCCTTTCTACTCAGATTCCTCAACGCTGTTACCTGTCTTTTGATTTCTGACTTTTTATTGTGTCCCTTCTATTATACTATATGACTGTCATTTTGTCACCTTGGGAGGGCCTGGAGTCAGGATAGACACTTGCTTTTCACATGAGATAGCCGTAGGCTGTGCTCTGGGGACGCTGTTTGGACAGAACAGCGACATAGTCTTGCCTTTATGGGGCTAGTACTTTAGGGAGGGAGAAAAAGAGTTGAACAAGTTAAGCCTTAGTGAGGTGCAGTAGGTGCTTGAAGGAGGGCTTGGGTTGCTGGGGAGATGGCTGCAAGGACATGTTACCTGAGGGAGTCACACATGAGCTGGGACCTAAAGACCCAGTGGGAACCCATCAGAGGAGGAAGAACATTTCAGATAGAGGAAGGGACTTCTATGGAAAGGCTTGGAGTCCAGCCCGAGAACAGTTCCTTTGAGAAGTGGAGAGGTGTTTCTCATGAGCACAGAGATGCTAAAGAGGGGTGTGGGGGGTAAAACAGGGGCCATGTCCTGAAGACCTTGTGACTCGAGCTGGGGAGCTTGGACTTGGTGCCAAGGACCAAAAGCAGGGTTTTAACATGACATGCAACGTATTTTCAAAAGGCCACTCTAGCTGTGGCTCCAGGAATGGATCTGAAGAGTGTAGCACTGGAGGTAGCCAGGTCTGAGGACTGTGTAGCCATCCAGGCAAGATGATATGGCGGCACAGCTAGGGTGATGGCCTCTGTCATGGAGAGAAGTGGAAGAGGTGATGGTTAATGACTGGGTGCAGGGGCAGGGGAGTGGCGGGAGACACTGCAGACAAGCGTGGGTTGAGCGAGTGGGTGGGCTGAGGACTGTGTTTGTTAGGTCCTGCCATGACCAGTGGGCAGTGGGTGGCAGCACCTTTCTCCAAGATGAGATCCCAGGAAGGAGCATAGACGGGAAGAAGTGGGTCCAGTCATGAACTTGTGGACTTTCATGGATGGTAAAGGAGCCAAGGAAGTGGGTGTGTTGAGGGAGAAGAGGCTTAAAGAGCAGGACCCTGAGGAGCCCCTCAGGAAGGCCACAGGAATCCGAGGGGCAGAGAGGAGGCAGCCAGAGGAGAAAGCTGGGAGAGTGTGGTGTGGGGGAAGCCACGGAAAGAGAATATTTGGAGAGGGGTCGACAGAGTCCAGTGTGCGAAGAGGCCAAGGCAGGTAAGCCTAGAGATGGGCACTTGTCCTCCGTGGGGAGGAGGCTGTGGGCCAGCTTGGAGAAAGTCGTGCTTTGGTGAGGTGGGGGACAGGCAGGCACGGAAAGCTGTCTTTCCAATTTCCTCATTGACAGTGAGCTCCTCGTGTCAGGAGTGATGTGCTGGAGGCGGATGGGCACGGGCAGCTCAGAGGACTGACGGTCAGAGATTCAGGAATTTTCTGAGCCAGCTGCTAAATAGCTGGTAGCCTAAAATCAGCCACGGTGGGAGTTTTCTTCCCCAGAAATCTACAAATGCTATAAATCAGGGTCCTTCCCCTCCCCAAGCTGGTTTAAGGACTAGGTCTGACTTGTTTCTGTGACCCAGGGCTTAGAATTTAATATGATATCTGGTGACAAGAGACATGAGTGAATTAGGAATGACGACGAGAAGCAATCCCAGAGCGCCTCTCTCTCGTGCCCATCTCCACCCCCTCGTGTCCTGCAGCTTCCTCGTGGGCCAGGATGGGGCCGTTTATGAAGGGGTTGGCTGGAATGTTCAAGGCTCCCGAACCCCTGGCTACAATGACATTGCCTTGGCCATCTCGTTCATGGGCACCTTTACAGGTAAGTGGATGCTTTGGGCAGTGGTGGTCATCGTATGGTACCTTTGGGAGAAGGTGTGACGTGGGTGACAAAGACATCAGACTCAGGCACTGTCTAAATGCACGCGTGGAGCTTCAAATCTGACATTTAACTAGGCTGAGTGTGGCCAGAGGTGACCCTCAGATGGAACTCACCTCCTGCTCATGCAGCCAGAACTCTCTCTTCCAACCCCTAAGGGACACATGGAGCCATCTTTGTGCCTACTGTTACTCATCTTAGCAGACACACCATTTCTTGGTTGCCATGGCAGCAAGTGGCACCCCTTCACCTTATATGTCACACCAACATGGATAAACCCTGACTCTGCACTGAGACTGCACACTCCATACAGTGAATATCGTCACAGACCAGAGCCCTTGACTAGAGTGTTTTTATTTTTCCTTTTCAATATTCAGGTGCTTTTTGTTGAATCCTGGAGAGGGGCGGCTATGTCACTGGGGCTGGTTCAGGCTGACACAGAAATGGGAATTGGGTGGGGGCAGGAGTGGCCCAGGACTGTGCCTGGAAATGGGGCTGACCCGAGGTCAGGAGAGGCGAAGAAGGAGCAAGCAAATCTCTGGGTAAAGCACAGGTTCCTGGCCTTGGTGATTCTGACGTCTCACATCAGATGCTTTTCTGTTGTGGCGCTAACCTGGGCCCTACAGGTCCTGGGCCTTACGAAGCTTAGCAGTATTCTTGGCTTCTATCAAATGGAGATAACAGTATCTTCCCTTTCTTAATTTTGACAACCAAACTGTCTCCAGACCTTGCCATGTGTTCCCGGGGGGAGGTAAACTTTCCCCACTAAGATAAACTTTCGCAGTGGAAAAAGGCTTTGCATATTCTCAGAAGAATGAGTTTCTTTCCCCAGACTCAGCCTTTTGATTTGGGAAAACTTTGGCCCTGAGGCACTGAAGTCTAGACTCTGTCCATTGAGTGGCTAACTATAAGGGTTCTGTGTTCAGGATTGGGGTCTCATGACTGTGTCATGGTTGGTGGCAGAGGAAGTTTCTGTGCCAAGGCACAGAATGCCTGGGCTAGGAAACCCTGGCTGCTGTGGCAATGCCCTGCATGAGGAGGCTCTGACTTAGAGTCTTATCAACCTCGACCTTGGTCTCAGGCACTCAGCTCCTGGGAGTAAAGGAACTCTCTTGTTAGACAAACCACAGTGTTTCACCAAGCTCCGCTGGGCCTGAACCTGTCCACAGAACAGTAACTTTGAACAATGGACTTTCTTGAGAGCTGCACAGAGCTCCTCACATTGCACATTGCAACGGCAGTATGTAAGTGAGGAAGGAGCTGCACAGTGTTGCTAACTCTGTAACCTGCCCAGGGACACAGTGAACAATGGGTACTTCTGATGCCAGTGATCTTGTGCAACCTATTGCTACAAATAGAGCTGGCAGCTGGCGCAAGGGGCTTCTGCCCCTGCCCCTTGCTTCTGTCTCCTTTTGTTTCTGTGACAGTTGACAGCAGTGGCCTGTACTAGCTTGGTGGTGGTGGATGGTTCTAGGGGTGTGTCCTGCCCTGGGCAGGGCGCCCTGGAATTCCTATGACCAACGGACCGCTGTGTTTTGCAGGTACTGCGCCCAATGCCTCTGCGCTGGAGGTGGCCAAGGACCTGATCCAGTGTGCTGTGGTCAAGGGATACCTGGCCCCCAACTACCTGCTGGTAGGCCACAGTGATGTGGCCAATACTCTGTCCCCGGGACAGGCTTTGTACAACATAATCAAGACTTGGCCTCACTTCAAACAGTGAGGGAGGCCCCAGCTCCTGAGGCCGCTCAACCTGCTGCTAGGTCTCTGTCCCCACCTCCCACCCATCTGTGTCCCCCTCCCCTGCAAGTCCCACCTTGCCTCCCTTTCGCAGGTTGGGGTGATACAGTCCTTTCCTACTACCGTCCTGCAGCATCCTGTAGGTTGGGCCCTCACGGCGCTCCACGTCTGGGCCCCACTTCCCCTCTCTTCACCTTCTTCATCCCTGGGCACCTCCTGCTCAGCCGGGAGAGTTGATGGGCTGGTCCTCTGCCTGGTGTGCCTTCCCCCGAGGTCTGCCTGGAAGCTGCCGGCCCTCACCCATCGCCAGGCCCGTGCGCCCACTCCTTCCCTCTGCCCACACGTTGACTTGTACAGACTCGGGTGCAGCTGTTACTGAAGGGCTGTCATTATCAGAGTGGTTTCTGTCCTCTCTCCCAGACTATGAGCTCTCCAAGGGAAGGAGCTGAGATTTATTGTCCCTTTGTCTTGTGTCAGTTCCTTACCCATGTCTGGAATTTAGTAGGTCCCTTAGGTGTTTGTTGAAGAAATGGATGAAAGAGTGGACGGGGTTCCTGGTCACCTGGCCAATTTGCTCCATCATCTTCTCTTTGGGAAGCCCCCTGGGATGGTGCCCTGGTCCACCAGTATTCTCTCTTAGTCTGAGGCTCCGAGCTGGCTCTGGGGGCTTTTCTGTACTGAGTGCTATTGTGGAGAGCCATTCTCACGCGTGACTGGGCGACTCCCGGTTTGGGCCTGAGGCTTCTGGCTGTGTCGGAACTTTCCTGGCCCTCTCCTGATGAGAGAACCTGTCTGTGTGGGGGTGTGACTGACCACTGACCCCGGGGGCCCAATCACTGACCCTGACCTTGGAGTGCGGCCCCCCCCCTCAACCTTCATTGGATGGAATTCTCCCCTGAATTTCTTGTTCCCCAATAAAAGGCTACTCCCTGGCGTGCTCGCTCTCTCTCTCCTGCTAGCCCTGAGTAATCCTTGCTGCCCTACGGGTGGTTTGAGGTTGGAGCCAGAGAGGGGAGCCATCTCGGACCTGGTCATAGAAAAAGGTAACTGAGTCTGTGTGTTTTATTTCGATCTCTGCTAGCTGACTTTTATGCCAAGAACCTCATTAATGAAACCAATGCGCAGGCCGCATGGTGGATGCTATGTCTTTAGAGTCCCATGTCCCTGTCTCTCCAAAGCACCCTGAGGGAAGGGACTGTGTGCTCCTTCACAGGCAGAGAGGAGCTGTGACCACACACACTCCCCAGTGCCTGTGGCCTGCCTGTGCCTGGCTGGCCCCACTGGGTGCTGGGCAGAGTGAGGACCCAGAGCCCTGGCCCTCTCAGCCCTCCCTGGACTCTTCATCTTACTTATTGGAAGCACATGAAACATTTTCTGTAGACATGAATAAAAGGAATAAAATATGTGGTTTGTCTTAAATGTTTTTAGGTCTTCATATTTTGTCTTGTTTTCTTGTGTTTCTGTCGCTCTTATAACAGAAATAAATGTCGGAGCTCTCATGATTTTAAAGCAAATATCTTGTGCTTTTCTAAGTGCTCAAAGGACCTCCCTGTCTGCCATTAGCCCTCAGGCTGTCTGTGTCAGGAGTGTGGGAATTGTCTCCTGTTTCCCCAGGGCAGAGTAGCCACAGAGATGCTGTCTCTTCTCATCTCACAGTGGGATGAGGCTCCGGAGGGAAACTTCCCCAGGGTCCTGCCCACCTCAGTCCTTCCCCTGAGCAGGTGAAGGGCAGGAGAAGGTATTTCTGTCCTTCCTTGCCCTCTGCTGAGGATGTGACTAGGAAGTGAACAAAAGGGGAGAGACAGGGTCTCAGAACTGGTGACCTGAAACAGGGCTGTCCAGACTTCCAGGTCTCCACTCTTCTGTTATCAGGAGTCAAGGATTTCTCAGTCTTTCCTTGCTTGTTTGGGAGGAAATTGAACCTCTCTTATGGTTTGGATCTGAATGTTCCCCCAGAGCTCATGTGTTGAAGGCTGGGTCCTCAAGACAGCAAGATCCCAGAAGTGGGACTTTGCAAAGGGAAGTGACTGGATCAAGAGGGCTCCAACTTCATCAGTGGATTAATCCATTTGATGGATTAGTAAAACCAGTGGACTACTGGAATGAGGTGGAAACTGTAGGCAGGTATAAGGTTGTTTGGAAGAAGTGGTCACTGGGCACATGCGCTTGGGGACTATCTGTTGTCTCTGTCCAGCCCCCCGCCCCAGCCTTTCTTGTTACCTGGTTGCCATGAGCTGAGCAGCTCCCTCCACCATCCCCTTTCCCCGTGATGTTCAACTGTATGAAGGAGAGGTGAAGGGAGGGGCCCTGACCCGGACAGAGGGCAGGCAAGGACACCCATGATAAAGGATGAATGGGTAGTTGAGTCTGGATCTCTATGGTCTTTGGGGTTGTCAGAGATTAATAAAGATTTGTACATCCTCTAGTCAGTGATTTTCAAAAGCATAATATTTTCTTCAAGTGGAGATTTACATGGACTCAGGTTGAAAATGGCACATTTGGTTTAGATCCATGCCAGAGGGGGGAAGCCAACAACTCAGATCACACAGCAGTGACACATACCTGCAGTCTCAGCAACTCAGGAGGTAGTGTAATGCCAGATTCTTGGGACCCCCATAGACCTCCAGGAGCCGAGTCCGATGCAATCACACAAGAGTCTTTATTGCAAACTCGAGCCTGGACTCACAACCGTTCCCGACGCAGTAGTCCCAGGGAGTGAGTCCCAGTCCTTTGTCCAGTGAGATTTTATAGGTTTTGGGGGGATACTCTATGCGTCAGAACATCGCACAGCAAATCATTCCATACCACGGGAAAGTCAAACAACAACTCTTAACATTGATTAGCACATTCACTGGCAGGAGCAAGTTGGGTAGGGGTGATTGGTTAATACAAGAGGGGGATTCATTTGAACTGATTGGTTTAGGCCACGAGGGGTGTACTGTGCTAAACTACATAGTTTCCCAACATGTTATCAGCCACCATAAACTACTGGGGGACATCTGGCATCCCAGGTATTTCCCTGTCTCATGCTGATTGATGGCTGCTAGGGGGGTTGCTATGGGCCCTCACCTAGCCTGACTGAGTCAGGGACACCTGCTGCAGCAGATCTCTCCTGTTATTTACAGACAAACAACTCAGCAGGGTGGGTATGTGCTTAGAAAGGCTCTGTGGGTTTTTCCAAGGACAAGGGTCACACCCCTTTCCTTAGGACAGGCCTTGAGGTAGTAGCTGCTGTTATTTATTTATTTTCAAAAATGGAGTCACATCAGTTTCTCAGTAGGAGGATCACAAGTTTGGGGTCAGCTGGGACTTTAGCGAGACCCTGTCTCAAAAGAAAACCTTTCAAAAGAGCTTGAGATATATAGCTCAGAGGTAGAACACTCCTGGATGCAATCCCCAGGAACACACACACACACACACACACACACACACAAATTGCCCACTAAGTCACGTGACACACATTACACTCAAGTCCTAATGTACCCCTCTGAATTTGTTACTACTTTGATAAAACACCTTCTGTGGCTATTCTTCTGTAATATAATAAAATAGATATATCTCAGTGTGACCATAAGATTTTCCGCAATCTGGTCCAAATTTACTTCTGTTTATACACCCAGATCAATGAGCATTTTTCTGTTCTCCAACCCCACTATGTGTCTCTGTACCTTCAGAGATCTGTTCCCACCATTCCCTTGAATACTGATTCCCTCCCCATTTCTACCTGTCAAGTGGTTCCCTCACTTCTCTCTGATAACTAATGAAACTGGCAAAGAGAGGTTAATGAATATGTGTGCTGTCATCTACTGTCACACAGTTTTTGAGTGTTAGTGCCAAGGTGGAGTTGTTATCTAGGTATATCTGACTTCAAATCTTCAGGGAATTATACTGTGGCATGCTCTCCCCAGATTTCAAATTCCTTCTTAAATATTGTGACCAGAAGTGAATACAATACCTCAAGGCCCCTGGTCAGACAGAACTCAGTGGAAACCTCATTTCTCTTACAGCAGTCTACACTAAGTATATACAGTGATGTATGTGAAAATGCTTTGTAAATGATGGATCTCTCAATTGATGATTATAATAATTATGAGGCTAAAGAGTGAATGACCTATTTTGACAGCTATTTTTTCCTAATTACTATCATTGATCCAACAATGGCGGAAAGTTAGATCTTCTAATAATATGCTTAAATTTTTTTTTTTTTAGTTGAAGATGGACACATACCTTTATTTTACTTATTTATTTTTATGTGGTGCTGAGGATCAAACCCAGTGCCTCACTCATTCTAGGCAAACATTCTACCACTGAGCTACAACCCCAGCCCCTAAAAATGTTTCATAAATCCAGGGAACACAAAGTCTCTCTGCAGGACCCTGTTTGTCAAGGTGTGTGTCGGGGGCCACCCTGCTGGTACATGCACTGAGGCAGCTGTCGTGACTGTGTTTCTGGTGCTGTGCCGTGGTCACGGGTGGGAGCCATTGAAGTCTCCTCAGATGGGTTATTCAATCATAAAATGAAGCAAAGCAAAACAGAGGTTTATATGCATACAAGCTAATCATCACGTTGCTTCTTTTCCCAGGAGGGAAAGTGAATCTGTGTCTCTTTCCATCTCTCCATCCTGATGGGAACTTTTCTCTGTCTAGATAGCAATCAATGGCCTTTGAAACATGGTTTCACCCTCCCCTAAACACTAGGATGCAGGAGGGTGTTGTTACATCAGATACACAGATGATTGTCCCAGGGTCTTATCCTTTAGCTCTGCAGGATCAGAGACTTCTGGCTGAAAGTGTTCACTAGACCCTGAGAATCAGAGCAGGGTTCTCGATTTGGATCGGGCTATTTCTAGAGCTGACTAGAGTTTTCAGAGACTGTATTATTATGAGCCTCCAGGGTCCAGGATGCTTCTGAATCCAGGGGTAACTGTTGCCCCACCAGCAGAAGAGCCCCTGCTCTGTTCATGTAAATTGATCCTTCACTGGAGGGGCCCGAGGTCTGCAGGGAGTCACAGACTTTAAACCTGGCTCCTAATGCCTACCACTGCCTCCTCCATCCTAGGTCACTTCCAAGGTGCTTTCTGCAGCCATGACATTATCTCGCATTATTGTCTGCAACTTCCTGATGCTTTCCAACACATTCTCTGCCCACCCACTCCCCCTATGCCTCTTGTGCATCAGAGGGTCTCAGAATAGCCAACGGCATATTTGGAGCATGGTCCTGCCTTTAGTTCAGTCCGCTCAAGGACCTGACCATCCGGCTGGCCTCTCTGCTGCTTCAGCCTCCACACTGAGAACACTCCCATTATTTTCCTTCCTTTAACCTTTTCAACTTCGAATGCCTTCCTGTGACTTCATCCAGTTGTCCCCAGGCCTGGAGCTCATCACCGACGGGAACTACATCAGCTCTCATAGTGAGAATGCTGTAAATCCCTTCTGAATCCCCTGTCTCTTCTGACATTTCCACATCTCCCAGGACTTCACTCCTTGCTGAGGCTAAGCTTGAAGCCATAGGGTGGTGGGCCCACTTAAGAGCCTCAATTCTGGCTTTAATAGTCCATTCCTGGCCCCTTCATGCCCCCTTAAAATTTCTCTTACTTATAATATAGTTCACCTTATCGTTGTAACAATTATTGGTGTTTGAGCCTGTGTCCCACAAGCTACCACTGACTCCTTGAAGGTGAACTGGTTCTCATGGTGGTTGTTTTCGGATGGTGAACTTCACACAAAGTAAACCCTGGTAGCTGTGTGCATGATAATGGAAGGAATAATGGTTTTGATATGGAGA